AAAAACGTTGTAGTCCCGTAGTATTATTGCGCAATATGCAAATTACTGCTGAAACGACTTACCGCTGTCGAAAAAGTAGGACAGCAAATTATACTACAATAAAGGTGTAACCTCTGAGTTCCAAGACATTATTAGTAGGAAATAAATATTTCTACATTATACAAAACATTATTATTAACAAATCAAAAGTTTTTCGTGACTCTAGGATAACTCGCGCATTAATAAAAGAACTATTTTCGTGACTCATACCGCGGGTTTAGCTGAATATTCAGCAGTTATTAATATATTAGATACAGTACAATGGTTAGTATAAATATCTATTTTTGAAAATGCATGTAAGACACTTTACCGCCATGTAGTCTTTCATGGTAAGGAAGTTATAATATCAGTTCTACTTCCGATTCTTGTGGTTTGTTTACATATTTTACTAGGTCATGATATGAGTTAACCTTCGCTATTCTAAAAATAGATTCTGCTTCACCTGTTCTGATTTTTGGACAGGCGATTAGGAAGTACACATTAAACATGTAATTAATAAACCAGCGGATTGTAATGCAATACTTTTAGAAATGCTAAACAATTGTAAGAAGCAAACTAGTTGAAAATGGAATTTAGTGTGAAGTTGAAAAGGACAACTAAACACTGTAGTGCTTAAGTGACATTTAAATTAAAATAAAAACGATGTGCTCTGGCCTCTACATCTTTACCTTGTAAATAAAAAAAAATCTAAGAAATACACTATTAATTGCTGATGATTTTAACCAATTTTTTTTAATGAGACATATCCAAGAGAAATAAAAATACAAATGACTTATATTTTATTGTCTGTATGCCCACTATGATATAACACGAAGCAATTCTAAATAGCATTCTCAAATGTATAATGTATTATGTTTGAAGTTTATTTGCCTGGATTTATTCTAGAAATATTTCGTTGATAGTTTTTTTTTTCTATTTACATATCATTTCTTAGAATAAATCGATAAGGACACTGATTTACAAGTTTGACCAGAGTTTTTAGGCATAAATTTCATTCTGTATTTAAGTGCTTGAAATCGAAAATCTGAATTATATCAATTTGGGACACAAAATATATTGCTCTACAAATCTCGAACTTGTATGGAACAAATTTTCTCTGTTATATATTTTGTGTTTTGTTTTGTTTTTTTTCTAAAAGAAGCCTTAATGTCTCTCCGGTTGCATGTCCGTCGCATTCAGTGCTGCAGCACTTTGATTAATACTCTTACGTTTTCTTTTAAAAAATTGTATTTTACCTTCGAGTCGACGAAAAATTGGTCCAAGTGGGAGCATTCAGCAGGTGCGCGATGACGTAGTATCCTACCATTGAGCAAGGCGGCCAAAATTGCATAATGACCTAGATCTTGCCATAATGGCCCTGAAATACCCTAGATTTTGTTACTATATATAGTAACATAGGTATTAATACATAACGATGGTTATTCCTAACTCATTATACATTGACCAACAATCAAATACCTTATTAATAAAATCCGTAGAATGATTCCTCGAGGGCAGGTCAACCCGTAAATATACATAGATTGTAAAGGCCCTACTTGCACCTGTATACCTAATAGTTTATCATCATCAATATGTAGTTGTGAAACAAAACTGACTATATTATTATTCCATATTAAAGCAACACCGCCTCGTGTTACAGCGCCTCGTGTTGCAAAACTGTTAATCGCACTATCGGATTTATCAGAGACAACATATAATAATAACTGTTAATACTATTAATAAAATATGCATTGCGACTTGAAAGCCAATGTTCTGAAATTTCTTATATGGACGGATCGTATTTTCTAGAATATAGATCAAAGTGCAGTATGACAGAATTCATGATGCCGGTGAAAAAAGGAACTTGTTCGCTAATAATGTTTCTTTTTAAAATGTTATTCAACGGTTTAAAATGTTTAATATTTAAATCAAGGAAATAAATAAGGTCGTCGTTTGCGATTGTCGAGTGTCGCTTCGTAATATCGCTATGTCATTTCGCGTTGTCGTGTGTAGACTATGCAAACGCGACGGCGACATTATGAATGGCCCCAAAAGGATTCCGTAGATCATCGATGATTACTATACTGTAAAAATAGTACTTCTACGGATTCCGTAGATCATCGATGATTACTATACTGTAAAAATAGTACTTCTACGCGGAGGAATCGTTATTTTGAAAATTATTTCAGTCACCACAGAACAGATATCTTAGTACACATTTTCCACATAAAGTTATTTACATATGTTTATACTGGCATTCTTTCTCGGTAATAAAATATAATTCCGATTTTAAATGATATAATTTCCGTGTTTGGCTGTACTTCGGTCGGGACGAAGTAGGACAAAACAAGGTTTTTACAATGTTTTCTCGTATATATGATATTCATTTGTTTATTCTATCAGTAAGATTACTTGTTAACGTTCTTTGCAAATAAACGGCGCAGCCCCCCCCCCCCCGAAAAAAGTAAAATATTTGATTGATACCCGCTGATATCACACTATCAATCACATCGACGATGGAGTATTCGTCGCAGGAGCGGTGGAAAAAAATGGCCGTTTGCTGTACTTTGTTGTTGGTAAGTTTATAACATAATTCTGCTTCTATAACATAATTCTGCTTCATGTTTTAATGTTTTACGGGAAACACCTAGTGAGACTGGATCCCACTTAAATTGTGACATTTATCGAAGAAAAAAATGCTTTTAAAATGACATTTTCTTTTATAGAATTTAAAGTACCTCTTATGATATTTTTTAAAAAGGTAACATAAATATATATTTTATGGAATTAAATGTTGTTTTTTTTGGAAAATGTGCAAAAAATAAACTGAAAAACATAACGAAAGGAAAAACGACTTATCAGACGTCCCTGAAATAACCCCAAATAAGTAACAAACAAGAGCTGTCACGTAAGTGACGAATGCCCCCGAAAAGCACGGTGCATATCCATATCGGTACCCTCTTTGCGAAATCTGCTCAAACGGTACCCTCTTTGAACATGCACAGGTCATTCTCTGCTAAAAACAAACCATCGATGGATAACAATCCAGTGAAATTTCATTGTTATTTTTTGTAGCTTATTGTGAAGTTACAGTACATGAAAATCGGGCACATGACAAATCAGCACATAAATAAAACATTATAGTGTTCCGTGGTATACATCTTTTCTACGTGTCAAACCTCCTTTCCTTATTACAATGAAATTTTACTGGATTGTTATCCATCGATGGTTTGTTTTTAGCACATGTTCAAAGAGGGTACCGTTTGAGCAGATTTCGCAAAGAGGGTACCGATATGGATATACACAGTGAAAAGGTTTCTTAAGCATGCAGGTATGATGAATAGAGAAGAGAATGAAAGTAATTAATTGCTTAATATAGTTCTTGTGAAATAAAGTGCTACATGTATTTATAGCAAACTTAACACCTTAGGACAAGGATTATGGATGCGACACATCTTTATGTGGTACACATTTATGCCATTTTTTTTAAATCCTTCAATGAATGGCACTGTTTGAAAACTAATGTTTACCTTCAAACTCTTTTTATGAGCATAAGTACCTTCAAACTATTATTGTGACCTTGACCTTAGAGGTTGGAACATGGGTCTTACACACAACAGTCATCTTGATGTGGTTGACATTTGTGCCAAGGTACGTTAAAATCATTCGATGCATGACAAAGTTATTGTCTGGTCACACATGTGTGTACCTATAATCACTAATTGTGATAGCGTGAACCTTCATAAGAAAAGTGTGACCTTGACACTTGAAAAGGGGCGTGGTTCTTGGACGCGACACAACATTGTCATGTGATAGACATTTGTGCATAGTTATTTCAAAATCCCTCAATGCAGTACAAAGTTACAGTCTGGACATGATTGTTGTGTAAGTGGGGACGGCGAACGGACATTAGCCTTAGCCACGACACATCGTCTTGATGTGGAAGACATTTGTTCCAAGTTATTTTGAAATTCTTCCATGCATGACAAAGTTACAGTCCGGTCATGAATGTGTATCTTCAAACTCTTCTTTTCACATGTCGTCTTAATGTGGTAGAATATAGATCAAAGTGCAGTAGTTATTTTTATTCTTCAATGCGCACACATATATATATATTGAGTTCAATTTTTGATTCTATACAGTATACACGTATTGAGATTTTGTGCTCGATTGTGTGCACATTATACATGTAATACACCCCTGATGAAGGCATAATACGCCGAAAGTACTTGGGTATTTATACTTTAGCACTGTATGAACGTTTATTTTCTCCAAATTTACAGTATATATATATAAAATTGCGTATTTATATATACAATGTACACCAATTAAGTCAATTAGTCAATTAATGCACAAATCAGTTAAAATTCAATAATTTAACCTTCAAGGTCAAGGTCATAAAGGAGCCAAGGTCAATTTGAGTTTGATAACAAGAAGGTCTTGTCCTTAAGAATGTTCTGTTATAATATGAAGTCAATCCATTCAATAATAGAAAAGTTACAGCCAGTTACAGCCAAACAAAACAATGAAAATTTCAATAATTTGACCTTCAAAGTCAAGGTCATTTATGAGAGAAGGTCAGGGTCTGTCTGGTTATTTTAAAGGGCTATCCTTGAAGATTATTATTTACAAGTTTGAAGACAATCCATTCAAAAATAGCAAAGTTATAGCCAATAATAGCAAGAACAAGCAAAATTTGGACATTTGACCTTGAAGGTCAAGATCATTTATGGATGAAGGTCAAAGTTAGTCTGGTCTAATGAAAGGCCTTGTCCCAAGGCTTCAATGCTTGTTGTGGCCAAGTATGAAGACAATACACCGAGAACTTATAAAGTTATGATCCAGGTACAAGTTTGCTGACGGCAACGCCACCAGGACTATAACAATACATATACTTCTACTTTTTATTTGAAAAAAGAAATGTCGAGCTAATAAAATAGGTACTGTTTTAATGCAAAGAATGTATTCAAGAAAAAATAACATTTCTGTGTTTCAAAGTTTAATACAGCTACGTAATACAGTAAATACCAACATTTTATCAGTTAGAATACTTTTCTTTAGAAGCAGTTATTATGATATGGCCTTTGAATCTAAACATAAGACACATCTGCACATTGTCTTTCATTTGACAGGCTGAAATATTACTTGCACCCCCAAATTCACCAAACACTGCTAAATTATGGCAAAGTTCAATGGTGTAGAAAACTTCTGTTCCCACTATTTAGTCTTGTATTAGCGGTGTCATAACATTTAAAAAAAAATACAATCGTGTTTATCACATTTAGGGAAATAGCAAGATAAGTCCTGATTGTAAAGGAGAAACGTGTAGATGTGCAAGTAAAATTGTCCGTAGAAGCCTTAAGGTTACTGTTCTTTCTTTACTTTCAATTAAGTATTTGTCAGTGTCATTTTGTATGTGTTTAAAGGGGTATTGGAAATCATTTAGGTCATTTAAGTCTTCTGAAATAATTTTGCTATCTATAAATACAATGAATACTGTGCTTTCAGCGCTTGATTCGACTGGTCATCGGCCAAACAAAAATGCTAAAATACAAAATAAGTGTATTGCACCACAGCATATAAAGAAACAGTGTATGTAAGGTATTTTAAGTTAACGCGCATTTGTAATTAATCTAATAATATACAATTATAAAAATATTAAAATGAAAATAAATCGGATGCCCTCAAGCTGTAATATATTCATCATAATAACAAACACAGATTAACAAAGCCTTCACTATCAACACATAATAACAAACACAAATTAACTAAGCCTGCAAATGCAATGTACTAGTACCATATATTTTTGTAACAATTGTAACAAAAAAAGGTACGTCCTTGGTGTGCGAAGATTAAGATAAACAACAATTTATACTTCAAATCAACACACTGAATAAACTGCGTGTATACATGTATATAAATAGAACGTTACATTATGTATAAAATAAAGCTCGTATTTAAAGCGACCTTCAGCTTTTCTAAAGGTTAAACTTGTTATTTTTAGATAAATTGTTTCAGATTAACAAGAGCCATCGCAGGTCGGAGCAACGCTCGACTTTTTTTAATTTTTCTAAATGCAAACGAATAAACATTTTAAACAAATCTTTAAAACGAAAATTAAAGAAAAAAATAAGCTTTTCCCCTTTTTTAAATTTCAATAGGTCTGTCTAGTCACACTTGTTGTTTTGTCGGAGTGTGCATCCTTTCCATAAATAAATGACAAAGTCAAGAAAATATAATAAAATTGAATCATTTCACGGTCAATGTCAATTCAAGGTCAATGTCTTATCTAAATGATTCCATATGTCTGTTTGGTCAAAAGTGTTGTTTTGTCCACATATGAATCAAATCCGTGCATAAATAACAAAATAATGACAACGATTAAAGTCATTTTAAGGTCAATGCTAAGGTCAGTTCATTTTTTAGAAGAAACGTTGTTTTGTAAAATCAAAGTTTTGAAAATAATCCATTGTGTAATTACCAAGTTACAGTAAATTTACAAAAACAGTTAGTTACAGTAAACAACAACAACAACTATAACAACGAGAAAAACAAGATAATTTCACTCATTTCATTTAAAGTCAGCGTCGCATCTAAATTTTTCAATATGTTTGTTGGGTAGCATGTCTTAATAATATCTGTCATATGTTGCGGTTCAGATCGGAATATCCGTCCCGAGGGGACCCGCCAGTTGGGCGGTAACGAGGCTTACCGACCATGGGCGGGTTCCCGAGGGACAGAGTTTCCGATCCGGACCGCAAATATATGACAGATATTTTTTCTTGCATAATCTACCATATTCCATTATATTTTAAACTCTTAACCTTAATAAAACAATTTTCCATGGAAATTTATATCATTACTCCCGTAATTATTTTTATAACATCTATGAAATTACAACTTCAATCATAACGGTAAAATTAAGTCATCTAAATTGTGCCATTGTACAGCACGCGACTAATCTAGCACCCCATGCCAGATGAAATTTCCGGCATGGGTAAAACTAACGGAAACACCAGTCTGATATGCAAGACTGCTTTGTCCAAGTATTAATCAAATCCGTACATAAATTACAAACTTATAACAATTCAACCAAAGTTCAATAATTTGACCTTGACGGTCAAGGTTATTTATAGCCAAACAACTTTTAATAAGATGTTTCCAAAATGTTAACCTTAAAGGTCAATGTCATAAAATAGCCAAGGTCAATTTGCGTTTGATACACATAAGAATGTTGTGTTATAATATGAAGTCAATTCATTCATTAATAACAAGTTATAGCCAGTAGCAGCAAAAACTAAAAAGGCCAAGTTAATTTATGCTTGAAAAACCAAGATACCGATATATCTGACATGTCTGTAACAGAACGTCTAAAAAAATGTGCTAAAATGAAATTTGCTGTCGATAAAATACAACAACAATAATGAAACCCCTCGATGATTCTAATCAACTCGTCCGCTCTCATTATGTAAATTAGTAAGGCCTTATCTTCTATTTTTACAAACGGGAGTCACACACGCGTTATAAAATTTCATTTTTAATAGCTCTAGGGACGCTGTGTTGAAGAAGACTTAATGATGATAATGATGCACTTCTTTTAGATAAATTACTAGAAAGCTTAGTTTAAAAAAGCACAGTTCTGTTTTTCCAACCCCCCAAAAAAGTTGAAGGCGCTTTAAAACTGAAAGAAAATGATAACATGTCTTATTTTTGTCAAACAAAATAACACTTTCCTCTCAAAATGATAAAAACGTAAATGTTAAATGTTTACAAAATATTGCTATTTAAGTTGTAAATGTTCACACAATCTTGCTATTGAGGTGTATTGTTTCAATGTACACAACATCGGAGATATCTCTATTCAAATATCTTTATATACAAAGAATAGCATTAACACAAGATTCCACATGTCATTATTGTGGACCACTAAGCGATAACAACATAAAAAGAACGTTGAGAAATGTTTTTAAAGACAGGTACATCATTTACAAAGCTTAATTGCATTATTTCTTTATTTCTTCAAATCTATGACACTCATTACCCCGGCCACGAAGGTTAGAATACATCCGGCGATAGCGAGACCCATGGACCAACCTATGTCCAGATGATCTAGTTTCAGCCCAAGTATCAAAAACCCGATCACCATTGCAAGTACTGAAATAAAAAATTAAAAAGTTGACTTGAAAACAAAAGTCAAAGCATTCAATTCTTTTAGAATACATTGTCATCTTCAGAAACATTTCTGAGTACCTACCTTTATATATTATATCGTACATTAGTATCTAAAGAAGTTTACCTTTGTCACATCTCATGTGCATTTAAATCAAAGCACTAAAAGTGATGTACAGTGTATTCGGTAAGTCGGAATAATTGTTGAGTTAAGGAAACTGTTCAATGAATTCATAAGTATATAAGATGTTTGTTTTTAGAGATTCATTAAAACTGGGTGATAATCAACATGTATACATAATATGAAGGGTGCTGTTTGTGTGGCAATGTAACACCGCACTTTGAGGTCCAACGTACTATTGTACATTATTTCGGATGTTTTGTAAATCTTTTTTTTTTCAAAATTATAATTATCGTATGCAGTTCATGAGAGATGGGCCAGATATTAAATAAAACAATAGCTTTCACTGACGCCTACCTGTGAAGGAACGTAATTCAAAAACAAAAAACAAAAAACTTTCATCGACTTTATTTTTCCAAATGTCCTTTACATGATTTGCGGGAATGTCATGATATAACTAGAAAAACATTGATGTAAAGCATCAAAGAGCATTTAAGAAAGAAATGCAGCAAATGACAATGAACTAGTAGACATCTGATGACCAGATATTCTTATAATTATTTCAATGGTTATGTTGGATTTTACCAGAATTGTGTATTAAGGACGAAAGACATTGTTCATCATGAACTTTGATAGGCTTGCTAGAGATAAGAATATTAAATGCATTTTCGTTAGTACAAACAAAACAGTAGTCAAAATGAAAAAAGTCTGTTTTTTATATTATTTTAATTGTAACAAATATATACAAACAGTATATAAAAAGTATTAAAAGAGACTAATATAGTAATATAACGTGCATTTTTATGTCAAATTAAAAGAAAATGGTTTCTATTAATACCTGGCACTTAAGATACAGTAGTTATATTTCAAGTCCGCGGTAAACAACTTGCAGTAGAACACAAATTGGAATGAAAAAATTGGGATGTATTTCAAAAAGACCAAATATAGGATTATTTTGTTATACAGTTATTATTATGGTATCAATATAATGAAAGACTGTAACCTGAATTTTTGACAGGTGTGAGGAAATTCACTAACATCATGTTCGTGCGAGTCAAAGATATACATGTAAAAGGACTATTGTTAATTGCTTTATTGGGAGATCAATCTACTATTTTGTTGAATTTCTTAAAAATCCTCGTCCGACCAATAAACCCATAACACCTCATGTAAAAACTGCAGACGAAAGTTACTGTTGTTAAAATGTCACAGTTTTCGGCAAATAAAACCACCATAAAACTGATTGCCTTCAAAATAGACTTATAGCAAAAATTTGGGGAAAAAGGTCAGTAGTGCAATCAAAGCCGTTAAAAGAAAGGAGCTATTAATTTACTGGAAAGAACCTACGCAAAAGACAATTTCAAAATGAAAATACTATGATATAACAATTCGTAAAAATGGCCTTCTTAAATGTTTTCGATAAATTTATAAAGAGTGCAATTTATTGTTGAGTATGTTTGCATTTCATTTTCTGCAAAATTCTCCAGTTCGTTATTTATTACCATAGCGCTACAGAAATGACCGTTTCGTTTAGTTTCAGACTACCCTATAAATAGATTTTCGGAATAACACAATGTTTAGGTCATCTATTTATAGCTTTCGAAAAAATACATACAAAACCCACTGTGTACTACAAAATAATAAGTAATTTCCTGTAGATAATAAATGTTAGAAATAAATTAACGAATTTAAGTTCATTTTTTTGTTTTGTCTTTTTGCCTTCCCAGAGATTGAGGCGTGAAATTTGGTCCAGTTCTCATTCATTAATATTACATGCTGCGAATCACCGAAGGAGAAACCAATATATGACTTTACATACTAGAAATCGGAATGATTTCTTGATTCCGCAATTTTTTTTTCTGTTAATCGAAGGGATTAATTGATAAAAATTGGGTCATCATGATACTTCGACAGGTTAACATGTTGTATGCACAAGTCATCATGGTATTTTGACAAGTTAACATGTTGTCTGCACAAGTCATCATGATTATTTGACAAGTTAACATGCTGTTTGAACAAGTCAGCATGGTATTTTGACAAGATATGATGTAAATTGACAAAATTGTATTATCATTTCACAAAATAGCAAAAAACATTGATCACATAAGACAGTCACGGCGTTCCATAGTAATAAATAACGAACTTTAGAGTTTTGCAGGAAATGAAATGCAAACATACTGAACCATAACTTGCACTCTTCATAAATTCATCGAAGCAAATAAAGTAGGCCATTTTTACTGTTGTTATCATAGTACTATCATTTTTAAATTGTCTTTTCTGTGTTTTTTTTTTGTTGGTAATAGCTCCATTCTTTTTTACGACCTTGATTGCACTTCATCGACCCTGATTTCCCGAATTTTTGCTGTATGAAGTTGATTCTATTTTGTTTGAAGGCAATCGTTTTTAAGGTGGTTTGAGTGGAATGTTGATTTGCCGAATACTGTGACATTTTAACAACAGAAACTTTCGTCTGCAGTTTAACATGTGTTAAAACTGGACGAGGATTTTGAAGCAATTCAACAAAATACTAGCTTGATCTCCAAGTAAATCAATTAACAATAGATCTTTATTCATAACCAATGTAAAGAAGCTTTTTTTATCTGTGAATTTCCTCATATCGAAGGTATGATTATAGCATTGTTTAAAAAGGGCAGCAGGAAAGATGTAAATAATTACCGTGGTATAACCTTAATTAGTTGCTTATCAAACATATTCACTGGTATACTTAATAATAGAATTATTTCCTCCTATGAAAGCAATAATGTTATATCCGACGCACAGTTCGGTTTTATGAAAGGCCGTTCAACAGTAGATGCTGCTTTTGTTTTAATGTCTACTGTACACTATTTCCTAAATGAAAATAAACGATTATACGCAGGTTTTATAGATCTTAAAAAGTGTTTTGATAGTATATACAGGAATGCTTTATGGCTTAAGCTTTATAGACAGGAGATACAAGACAAATTGCTTAGAATAATTAAAAATATGTATTTTAATGTCAAATCTAGTGTTAAGAAATGTAATTCATATTCTGACTATTTCTGTTATGCCTTAGGCGTACGTCAAGGGAAGGTAATGTCCCCTCTACTTTTTGCGAAAGCCCTGCATGGAATATGTACAGACGACATACTTTTAAATTTATTATTGTTTGATATTATCATTCTTTGAGGGAAAGACTCCTGCGGAATTGCAAAAAAAGTTTAGATCTTCTACACACACATTGTCATACCTGGGGTTTGGTGGTAAACGCGACGAAAACAATAATTATGGTGTTTAAAAAGCGCGGAGTTTATTTACCCCACGAGAGTAGGACCTACAATGGCCATACAATTAAAAATGTAAATATTTTTAATTATCTTGGAACTGTGTTTAATTACACTGAATCAGGAGCACGTACCAGGTAAAGATTTAAAAACACTAAATGTGCTCTTGGTTAATTGTAATAAGTTTAAATTAAAACCCATACTGTTATGTCAGTTATTTGATGCATTTGTTGATGTTATGTTGAAAAATTCATTAGAAGTATGGGGTTACACAAAATCAAAGATAATTGAAAGAATCCATCTTAAGTTTTGCAAACGTATTTTAAATGTTAGAATTTCAACCGCAAGTGCTGGTGTTTGTGGCGAGTTAGGAAAGTTCCCGCTATATATAACAAGATACGTAAGAATTGTAAAATATTGGTGTGAATCGCAACAGTCAAATAATATTATTCTGCAAAAGACATATGAACAGGGTCTGATAGATTGTATTAAAGGACGTAAAAACTGGGTTTCAAATGTTAAAAAATTACTAAAAGAATATGGTTTTACAGATGTTTTCCTCAATTCTAGATCGGTTGATTTGAAAAAAATGTCCTAATATTTTTAAGATACGAAGATTGGAACGCATCAGTAAGTAATTGCATGTGCAGTGCTTGAAAATTATGAACATATTAAGCAAGCGCTAGCGTACGAAACATATTTGGATATTTTACCTTTTAATCTAAGAAGTTATTATACAAAACTGCGTTTATCAGCACACTCATTTAGGATACAGACCGGTCGTTATTCCCTGCGGTCTGGAGACCGCAGAATATTGGTACGCGTTTAACTTTTGAGGCATGGAGGAGCACGTGACCTGTTTTCGGTACATGGAGGAGCATGTGATCTATAAACCGTACATGATTGGTTAATTGACCTTTTCGAAAACCTAGCTAAATACCGTTTGCCGGTACGTTACGGATTTACCTCTAGGGAATTAGTCCGAATTACACCTAATTAAGAACAATAAACTATTACGTGATATTTCTAATTTTCTATAATTATTTTACCGTTTAAGGTGGAACACTTGAATGATGTGTTTGAAAATTTTCAATGATTTTTTAATATCTATCTCAAATTTTACAAACAATAAATTGTTTATACTGAAAATCTACAAGATTAAAATATACGTAGTGGCATCTGCCATAATAAATAGAGATATTTTCTGCGTAAACTTGTGGGTTTACTTTTTTTTGCTCGGAATTATTCATAAAATGGTAGGCCTATTTAATAATTTTCTTAAATAGAAATAATTGTTTTATGTTCGACCTTCTCCGGTCTTCAACGGTCACCAGTTTTCAAAGACCTTTTTCTATATTGATCGTTTATTGTCAACTATATTCCTGATACAAACGTTTATTTACCCCCCCCCCAAACAATGTTGAATGAAATATCTTCATATCATTAAAAATGTTCCCCGCAGGAAACCATTTTACTTGTTCAAGAAATAGAATACCTAGAAATGAAAGATATTGTTTGCTATGCAATTTGTTAGACTTAGAAAATGAATTTCAACTTTTATTTAAATGCCAATGTTATGAAGATTTGAGGAAGAAATACAT